CAAAAGGTGAAAAAAAGGTTAGAGTCGCAAGGCTGCCGGGGGGGGGGGGGCTTGTGGAGAATGGGGGGTATGAGAGTGCCAAACTACATGCTGTACCGTCACTGTCCTGAACCATATGCCTGGCAGAACATCTCTGCCTTACATGACCTGCAGAAAGCTAACAAATCCCACAGGGCATGGATTTTGTTCCACCAGGTAGGGAGGTAGGGATCAGGGCCGAAAAAGCCCTGGTTGAGGATAGCTAGATCTCTCTCGGGCCAAGAACCACTAGGAGGTCCCCCCCCCCCCCCCCCAAATAATAAAAATATATTCTTCTCTGAATCTGATCAGTTATGAGTTGGTTGAAATTCTGTTTCTGAAAAGATTAATATTTTTTAGGGCAAACAGTTTTCCCCCTTGTTTTGAGAGAAAAATCTTTCCCAGAAAGCTTTTGATTGCAGCCATGCTTTTAGTAGAGTACATTAGCTTCAGAAGCTGGGCTCAATTTAGAAAATGCACTTTGTCTTTTTTCTCATTGTTAAATGTTAATGTCCTTGCAGTGGTCTTTTAGGTCGCTCTGACTTTCTGAATTCTCCCTCTTCTCAGCATAGTAATTGCTAACTAAAGGGGCTAGCTATTATTAATAACAATATTTAGTACAAAAGTGCTTCTGCCTCAAATACTTAGAGAGTTTACATACTTCTTGTTGGTATTCACATAACTTCATGTTAGCATAGGCATGTAGAATAGGCCTGGCTAGCCTGGTATGGAGCTATATAGTTCAGGAAATTTCTGCACATCAGGTTGCTGTTGAAACAACAGGAGCAGAATAAGCGAACAACATTTGGGATGAAATGGGAGATGGTATCCTAGGATCTCCTTTCCTGTCACCATAACTCTTTGCCAGTAAGGTTTGGTTTTAGTGCAGTTCCACCATATGAGGCTAAAAATTTGTGTTTTGAGAGTTATTGGTGTTCATTTTCTTTTAATAGACAGTGCAAGGGTGTGGCATTTACTTTATATTCAACCCCTCAGCCTTTACCAGTTATGCCAGGCAGCTCTTAGAAGAAAACAACTACTAAAACATGACAACAATAGTTTATCCAAATCAGACCCCCTATCCACATACCTTTAATAAAAGTTGTCTCCCCTTTCTGCTACTGCTTGCCTGTGCTAAGCTATCTACAAAAGCTATTTATTTTCAGAAAAGTAGGGCTTTTGTTGAATTATATTACAAGCCTTGATTGTGGTGATGATGATGTGCTCTTTATTTGGTTCATTGTGCTGATCGTAGGAGTTCGATAAGGAAGTGAAGGGCTTCGTATTTGTTCTAGAAGGAAGCAGTCAAACCAACAAGATGCAACTTCCTAAGGAAATGAGGCAAACTCGTAAGTACATACGTAGTATGTATAATAGAATCAGAACTGAAAATGTGGTTAGGCTTTGATTGCTTAACTGGTACTGTGCCACAGACATAAAGTTTATCTTGTCTCAAAATAGGACCTTTCAGTAACAGAGGAAAAATGTTATCATCTTTTCTAGAAATAATTATATTTGTCCTAATGTTTTAGCTGCATGTAAACCTTCCATTTCCCCCGCTCCTTTGCCAGGTGAGGCCAGATGAAGACCACTTTCTGCTTGACCAATAATACATATATCCTGATTGGCTCCTTTTCCTAATGAATGTACAGAAAAATCAGCAATGTTCCCTTCCTGTTTTTTTACAGCTGTTTCATGAACTTCCCCTGACAAGAAGCTGCTCCTGTAGCTATTCATGTAGCCTCCAACTTCAGTTGTGTTGTGGTTCTCAAACCCTTTGAAGCAAAACCCACTTCTACACTTACACTACCATTGCCATGCCAAATGAACTGGGGTGAAGGCAGGGAAGAGGAAGGAGTGCGACTGCTCTGCTATCTGTTTGCCTTTTTCTACATTGAAAGGAGGGGGGGCTTATTCGGTCAGACTTTGCCGATGTGATTTGAAAAAGGTTGACCCTCTGCCCCATATGCTGTTGGAATGCCCTTACTACAACTCCTATCACAAGTTGTGGATTGCCCCTGTTCTAACAAAATTTCCTTCTCCTGTATCAAAAGATAACATAGTCCCTTATCTGTTGATGGACAGAGATCCATGGGCGACACCGGCAGTGGCCAAGTATCTCTCCACCATATTTTCCTTAAAAAAATACAGACTCATTATCCGCTGCTCAAGATCTATGGATCAAAGGAACTTGAAAGAAGGAAAGGAAGGGGACAGAGACTCTTCTCCCAGTTTAAGAGTTTTGAGCATTGTGATGCACTGGCAAGAAAGTAATGACTGGCCGAACCATGAGAGTCTTCCCCATTTCATTAAGTCCTCTCTACCCTTTGGCCTGCAGCTGTTCTGAACCAGGTTGGCATATTGAACAGAGTGTTGGAGTTAGACTGTGGAGACCCGAAACGGGTTCTTACTCAACCATAAGACTTGTTTGGTGACTCTTTTTCAGCCAACCTACCTTACAGGGGATAAGAGGATGAAATGGGAAGGATGGTGGATCATTTGTGCCTCCCTGAGTCCTTGGAGGAAGCATATATAAGAATATAAATAAATTGTAATAAATACATCAGACATCCATGTGGCTTCTAAAATGAAATGCCCCAAAGCAAAATACTGCCCTTTACAAAGTGCTCACCTTTACAAAGTGCTCACCAAATGTTTTCCTACCCTGTTGCTAAGCTTAACAGGGTGACAAGCAAGATCTGAATTTTGAAGAAGATATTGGATTTATACCCCGCCCTTCACTACCCGAAGGAGTCTCAGAGCGCCTTACAATCTCCTTTCCCTTCCCCTCCCCAGAACAGGCACCTGGTGAGCAGTCGTCCCTCTAAGCTGTGGAGTCCTGTGAGCAAAAATTCTACTTTGTGAGCTACTGGCATTAAAGTTGTGAGTGAGTGATTCGGCTGCTGCATAAATTAGTTTGCTCTGGAGCCATCCTTCCTGATCTAAAACAAAAATGTGTGAGCCGGAGGCTAAAAAACTGTGAGCCAGCTCACACTAACTCAGCTTAGAGGGAACACTGCCCATGATGTAGGTGGGCCTGAGAGAGCTCTCCCGAGAACTGTCCTTGAGATAACAGCTCTGAAATAACTTACGACTGACCCAAGGCCACACCAGTAGCTGCATGTGGAGGAGTGCGGAATCAAACCCAGTTCTCCCAGATTAGAGTCTGTGCTCCTAACCACTAAACTAGGGATGTCAAACTCATTTGTTATGAGGGCCGGATTTGACATAAATGAGACCTTGATTGGCCAGGCCATTTGTGTCATAAAATGTAATGCCAGGTAGTGGAGATATAAACTTTATAAAGGACACAAACACAAAGGTTTTTTTTACTTAAAATAAAAACATGCTTAAAACATTAACACTCTTGCAATATTTTATTTATTTAACAGTGTCTGATAACTGACACCTCTTGCTCTGAATTATTGCATCAAAATGTCTGTGCTGTTGCAATCTTGAGTATGCTGTTCAGGTGTGTATCTGTAAGCCGCAAACCTATGATGACGCAGCAGCACCAGAACTGGAAGAAGCAGCAGAAGACAGCCAGTTCCACTGTGGGCCTGATAGAAGCCCTCCAGGGGCCTGATCTGGCCCCCAGGCTGCATGTTTAACACCCCTGCACTACACTAAACTACACTACGCAAATCACAAAGGCCCCTCCTGTGTCCATTGAAGATGACAGATTACTTTTATTTATCATGTGTGTGCATGCACCTTCAATATATTTCTCTGTGTTATACAAATAAACATCCTAAATCATCCACCCCACCCCCCAACATTGCAGGGTTTGATTAATTTCCTGAAATTGCAATCTTAGGAGAAAATATATAAGTAAAATTAAAAAAAAAATACTTAAAAGGCTGTGAATGTTAACAAAGCATTATTCCAATCTATCTTAATGAAAGCTGTTTGGGTTTATTTTTTCTCAGAAAATTTCGGTTACTGTATCACAGCTTGGTTTGTACAAAAGGGCTGCCAAGGATCAGCCTTTGCCAAATGCCCTCCTAGGGCACAACAGATTGATTGATGGTGTTCATTTGTTGTTTGTGGCCTAGACATGTTCCCTCAAGAGAGAGAATAGCAAGATAGAGAATAACCTGTAGAGCAGACTATTTTTACAGAAAATTCCCCATCCGGAGAACATAACATACCTAGTTGTGTTTGTTGGGTAGGTTGTTATCACAGGTAGAACCATTTGAATTATTCCACACTCACATGGCCCCAGTTTCTGCTCTTGTAATAAAGAAGGCTTCCCTTGAATTTGATTCTGAAACCTGTATTAGATACTGGTGCTAAGCCCTGATTTGTAATGATCCAAGTCATGGACGGTCTGGAATTCTGGTTTTCCATATCTGAAGAAGAAAATGCCTGTGAGCAAGTACAGATTGACTTTCCTTTGCCCTTGAAATAAGTTTAGTCAGTCTGCCCCATTATCTAGAGTTGGGAGGTGGAGAAGCAGAGAGAACCTAATACTTCTAATATCTTTCTATTTACAAACTAACCACTGGCAACAGCTGTGAAAATGTGGCTAAGGTATGTCCTGAAATAAAGGCTAATATTGAGTATCAACAGTGTATTTCTCTGTCTCCTGAGATGAGAAGGCAGGATGGGAATTTTGGGAATTGAGACTGAAGAAGTATGATCCTATCTGTTAGTCATATCACAGCTGCTTATTGTGCCACTAAATATTTTCTGTCGTAGTCACAGTAACAAATGTGGTTGTAGCAATGAGTTACAGCAAAGCTTCATAAGGAAATAGTTTTCAATAAATAATGTCCTTTCCCTGTATTTAGAATGTTCTTTTAAAAACATTTTTGCAGCTTGTGTTTACAGTTCCTAGTGCATGGTTATCTTTTTTTAAACAAAGATTTAGAAAATGAGCCATTTAACATAATTTAGAAATGCTGGCTATATTTTGGAACCAGAGAGATGATAATTGGAGGGATACCTGGAAGGCAGCCAAATGTTAACTGCCGTTCTCTCAAGTGCGAAGGCTTTGCCCCCATTTTTGCCACAGTGGCATTGTCAGGCTGCCTGTAGGCACTGCAGACTGCCCAGCTTTATATTTGCCTGTTTTTTTTTTAATTTCAGCTGAAAAGACATCAGTCCAAATACAAAGGTAGCTTTTATTTCCTTTGGCCACCAAATCAGTAAAAGTCCTTTGTATGTTAAAAATGAGTACAGGATCCTTATCCATTTAAGGAAAGACTAAGCAACTTTTTCAGAATTGAAGGAATGTTCTCTGAGTTGATGAGGGAAAGTTAGTATATGTATATTTTATTTTCATTTTATAAATATTATTTGTATAAGCTTTCCATGAAAAGAAGAAGGAGAAGAAGAGATTGGATTTATACCCCGCCCTTCACTTGGAGTCTCAGAGCGGCTTACAAACTCCTTTCCCTTCCCCTCCCCACAACAGACACCCTGTGAGGTGGTTTGGGCTGAGAGAACTCTGACACAAACTGCTCTTTCAGGAACAGCTGTGCCAGAGCTTGTGACTGACCCAAGGTCACATCAGCAGGTGCAAGTGGAGGAGTGGGGAATCAAACCCGGTTATCCCAGATTAGAGTCCGCACACTTAACCACTACACCAAACTGGCTCTCGAAACACAGTAGATACCCAGCCATTGGGGCTGCTTGGCAAACACAGGTTGCTTCTATTTATTTATTTCATTTATACCCCACCTTCCCCGCACGCATGTGCGAGTAGAATTAAAAAAGCACTCCAGACAGCAGTTAACGTAGTACTATATTCCTCATAAAAATGCAGCAGTATCCATCCTCACAGGCAAAATCACAGTATTGTGTTTACTTGGAAGTAGATAAAGGGGGGGGGGCGTGCTTGATTGATGCTTTTACCTTTGCAGCCAAAGTGATTCTTCATTACTTTCATTTAATTTTTCATGATTGTTTTTACTGGAAAACAAATAATTAAAGCTCCTCCTCCCTCAGAAAAAGAACTGATATCCCTTCAGGTGTGTGAGTGAAAAGATGTAATTTAGGCTAAGTAGAACTTGTTTAAAGACTACAAAAGAAAGGAGAAAAAGCTTAAAGGGGCAATAATCCTGGGAAGTCTCAATAGCACATTTGGATACATGTTTGCGCAGCTGCCACTGAAGTTAGGTTTTAAGTGGGGGGGAAACCACCCACCACAGATGAGTTATGAAACAAAGGGTTGACATTGTCTACATTTTCCATAAGAAGTGAGTGGACAAATGATGCCTATTCCAGCATAACTGTGTCATGAGTAGGGTTGCCAGTCCTCTACAGGGAGTAGGGGATCCCTGCCCCCAGGTCCCAAACCCCACTGCCAATCAGCTGGCCAGCAGGGGGACCTACTAGCAAGAGAAGCACGTCTAGGTCACTGTTGCTGGCACCGCAGTGATGTCACTTCCGGCATATACTGTGGCAATGCTCTGGTATTTGGGCAAAAATTATGGTAGAAGCCATTTTTACCATAGAGTTTTTGCCCTAATACCAAACGACATGATGACATCACTTTTGGTGCACACCAGAAGTGATGTTGCTGGCGATGTTGCTGGTGATGAGGCCTAGGCATCCACCTACTCCTGGTTTCTTTCCTCCCCCCACAAATTGCCAGGAGGAAACTGGCAACCCTAGTCATGTGGAAGCACCCATATAGAGCTGTTCCTTGAAACATTAGCAAAAGCATATTTAAACCCTGAAATGTTCAAGTTTAATGTAAAGTTTACAGTCCAAAAATATGAAGGTTAAAATTGCGATCTCTTTCTCCCCTTCTTTGTACATTTTAACCCCTTGCAATTCTGGGTTTGTTTTGTAGAGAGGGAAAAATCATTCTGGAATTTTTATTATTGTAATGATGGCTATGTGGAATTATCTTAGGGGCTATGTGCTGGTTCTCCATTCCTTCTCAAGCTTCAGTGAGGATGTTGAGGTACTTTAAAGCTCTCAGTTGCAAATGCTGGAAAAGCTGGATGTCACTCAAAATATATTTTGTATTAGCTCTGACCTGGATAGCCCAGGCAAGCCCAATCTCGTCAGATCTCAGAAGCTAAGCAGGGTCGACTCTGGCAAGTACTTGGATGGGAGACCTTGAAATACCAGCATTCAGGAGGACAGGGGTAGGCTTTATTCAGCCACCTCTCTTAATATCCTCTAGACTCCCAGTAGGAGTCAGTCACCAGAGGTCGCCATGACTTCCAGGTGCACACACACGCACATGTGCACACACAGACATATGCACATATGAAAAATACACACACCCCCCGCTAAAATACACTTTGCATTTAGATTTACCAGCCTTGTTGTTTGATTGCTATATGATGTGTTTGGTTAAAGAGAATGGTCCAGTATTTCTTAGCCAATATTTTTAATTACAAAATAACTTTTCAAACATTGCCAATATGAGAAGTGATGCATTTTAAAGTATTCCACAGCACTAATGCTTGTGGGATTGATTAATTTTAAATTCCGGTGACATAATTTTCAGATCTCTAAATATTTAATGCATCTTTTATGAGAAATAGAACTCTGAATTGTTCAGAGGCTCAAAACAAAGTGCTTGGGCTTAATTTGAGGACTCTTAATTACTAAGGCCTCATTGCAGTTACTGTGTTAGAAGTAGCTTAATTTGAATTACTATTTCTCTTGATTTGCCATGAATTGTAGATATATTCTGACTTTTACTTTTATATCTCTATCTTGTGCACTAGTTCTTGCATATTTTAAACAAAGTATAAAACAGCTTTAATACATAAGTATGTTGGAGAAAATTTATGAAAGTCGTATGAAACATATGAGATGGTCCTTGCAAGAATATTCTTGATGTGACTTAAGCTGACCACAGTCTTATTTATTGCTGTCAAGTTGCACTCCTAAGCATACTTACTAAGAGCTGGCCCCATTGATCTCAGTTGGACATATGTCTGAGAGTATAGACATTGGATCAGGCTCCCCTGTCTTTATCAGCACAACCTGGAGCTGTATCTTTGCACAGACATAGATCTTCACCACCTTCCTATATCCTCCAGCAGGTCCTGGGGGCCCCTTGGCCCCCCCCCCCCCCCCCAAGGCTAGTTGTAGAGACTGGTGGAATGTTATGGACAAAATGCCATGGGGCACAGGGGCTGCAGTAAAAATTGGGGATTGAACAAAATTGCTCCAGGTTCACCTGATACACTCCCCAAGGTTCCATGGCATTGACAAGCTTTCTCTGACTTTGGAGAGGGGAGGACTCAGGGCAATGTTCAGAGAAACGGAAGGCAGAGAAGATGATCTACTTACATGACTACCCTTGCACACATAGTTCATTGGCTCCATCTTTTAGCTATTTTGAAGGTTTTTCCCCTGGAAATTTTACAGGCCATTGCCATACTTGACCATGTTCTATCTCAGCCCATTGGCTCTCCAAAGTGGTTTAAACTGAAGTTCTCCGCTGAACTATTTGAGCTATGCATGATGAGCCAGATAGTGTCATGCTCACAAGTGGTGTTCCCTCTAAGCTGAGTTAGTGTGAGCTAGCTCACAGTTTTAAGCCTCCGGCTCACACATTTTTGTTGAAGCTCAGGAAGGATGGCTCCAGAGCAAACTAATTTATGCAGTAGCCAAATCGTTCGCTCACAACTTTAATGCCAGTAGCTCTCAAAGTAGATTTTTTTTGCTCACAAGAATCCACAGCTCAGAGAGAGCATTGCTCTCAAATAATGTTAGAGCCTGGGACCCTACTGTCCAAAACTTCGATGTTGACAGGGCCTGGAACCCAGGGTCTACGAAAGTAAGGAAAGAAGAGAGCAAGGGCTATCAGAATGGGGAAGACCACAGGTCAAGAAGTGAATGTTGGAAGCAGTAGCGCAACATGAAACTTTTTATTACTTTAAAAATTGAGTTTAAATATTTAGGATAGCCCAAGAAATTATATGGGCTGAGAGGCGTAATATCTGTGGTCATGTGGCAGTTATAAGGATGATTTTTGTGAATGATCAGTCTAATTGGCCATCCCAGGATTGTGGTGATGCAGACTTATTTTGGTCCAACATCCCGACTAAAATACTTAACGTTGCCATGATTCCTCAAAACCACCGTGGCTTTTCTGTGTGGAACACTGATTTTGCAAAAGATTGCTTTCTCCTTCTCTAAACTGCCATTTCTGTTTTAAACATCCAGATTAGATCAAACCCTCAGTTGGCCATACCTGTCCAAATCTGGATTCAGTTATGTGATGAACTGCTTAAGTGGTGCAAATAAAGTTTAAATTTGTCATCAGTGTGAGCAATTACCGTACACTTTTGCAGGAACATGTCTGTGAATCTTTAGATTGATTTTTATGTGTCCTTGTAGAATGTACTGTTTTTGTGTGCGCTGTCAACATAATGAAAAACTGTAAATAAAATAATTCAATTTTTTTCTCCCTAAAGCTTCCACCTGAGCCACCAATTGGATGTTTGGAAAAGTACCACTTTTTATTAGTTTAACTTGATTTCCTTCTGTTAGTTTTCCTCCCTCTTTTCATGTTGCATGAACTATGGAAAATACTGCGGCTATCTATAGATCATAAACACTAAATGCTTGTTTATGTGTGATGAATTCTAATGTATTTCTTTGTCTCTTTCTAGTTGGACTGATCCAGCAGTTTTTGGTACTTCAGATTTATGTGCCTTTGGGGCAAGACTTCTCTACTGAATTGCTGTAAGATAATACAGAACTTCCTATCATGTTTCAGGCACTGTAGACACTTGATCAATTTAACCAGTACCAACTGCTATTAATTGTAAGTTGCAGCTTTTGCATTAAGGAGCAGTGACTTATCAAGTTGACATGGAGTAATTAAGCTAATTTGATCGCTGTTTTTCAGATCCTTTTTTTTTTTAAAATGTTTTTCCCTGAGCATTGGAAAACAAATTGTGAGTAATGTTAGTTAAGTATGTTTTAATGGTGAAACTATATGGTGATTACTTAATTATTTTGTTTAATTTGAAAAGTCACCAGCATATTGAGATTAGTTTCTGTTTAGCAAGGAAAAAATGTGTAAGACATCAAATCACTAATTTTGTAATTAGGGATGGGCATGAACCGAACCACGAAGCAAAATTTGTCATGACTGTTGCCTTGTTTGTGGTTTGCAAACCAAAGTTTGTAACTCTACTGTCACAAACTTCCATGAACTTTTAAAGCTGCAAAAACAGCTGGGCAGCTGTTTTGCAGCTGCACAGGAGAGTGCAAAAAGCAGCTGAGAGGCGGAGAGCTCCTTGCTGCTCAGCTGGTTTTCATGATTTCTTGTGCAGTCCCTTTAAAGTTTGAAGGGACTGTGCAATAAAGTGTGAAAAACCACTGAATGGTGGGGAGCAGGCTGGTTCGGTTCATGAATGAGCCTCCTGGTTCGATTCGGTTTGTGGTTCGGACATGTACCAACACGAACCACATTTTTCCGGTTCATGCCTATCCCTATTTGTCACTTCTAAAGAACAACAGAGATCTTTTATTTGGGCTGAAGTCCTTGTATTAATTATTCTTGTGTGTTAGGATATTATCAGTTTTATTTAGTTGATTTTGTAGTTTTGGGATATACCTATAAAAATCAAGTTCCATAAATAAATTGTATATGATTATCTAGTAACCCCAGAACAGATAAGAGCTCTAGGCATGTTTCCCAGATAAATTTGGGCTCAATGCAGCTGTAGTACTTTATTTATTTACAAAATTTATATCCTGCCTTTCTGCCCTCACAAGGGCCACTGAGGTGGCTAACCATTTAAAACGTACATGATAAAACCATAAAAAACAATCATCCCTCCAAACACACATCATAAAAATAGTTAAAAACAGCATTAATATATGTACAAAACATAAAAAAAACAGTGGTTAAAACATTGGTTATGCAGGAGGGATCACTAAGGGAATGCCAAATGAAACAAAAAAACCCTTCACCTGCTAGCACCAGCGAGCACAATGATGGAGTGGTATATATGTCCTATATGTGTATAGACTAAGAAATACTCTATGTATGTGCAGATTTTGCTTGCGTGATTGTGTGTGCGTGCACGTGGGTGTGTAACATTCAGCATGCACAGTGCTGAAATGAGTTTTCCTTGGATTTATACACAATGTAAATAAGATTCTGTGTTTTATTAAACAAGTCCTGTTATAATATTAGGGTTGCCAGCTGTCTGGGGAAGAAAATATCCTGCACTGTCACTGGAGGTTTAATGGGATATTATTTAACAAGCAATCTCCATGCCATAAAAAGCTTCAGCTACCCATTTCTACACATTATGCCTGTATTAAAGGAACAGAGGAGATTTCCCCCCAGTTCTGTTGGCAACACTGTATGACATTTGGGTAAAGGTAAAGGTTCCCTTGCTCGAAAGCCAGTCGAATCCGACTCTAGGGTTGCGGTGCTCATCTCCGTTTCAAAGCCGAAGAGCCAGCGCTGTCCGAAGACGTTTCCGTGGTCATGTTGCCGGCATGACTAAACACCAAGGCGCATGGAATGCTGTTACACATAATGAATTCCTTATTCGTATATGCAGAAATTCATCACAAGAGGAAGGTAACAGATAGGTTTGTGCAACTTTCTGGCAGCAGTTTGCTACAGCATGGTGGGTAAAAATGTGATTCTGTGCTCTTGCAAGTTACCAGTAGGAAATTATTGTTCTGCACTCAGTCACTCACACATTCATGTGCACTCAGTCTCTCACACCCTCTCTACAATGCATAGGGTTGGAACAATTTCAAACTTCTGTGTACTGTGTTCCTTTGGGGGGGAGGGTTAATACTGATAGGGAAGCATTAATTTCATTGTTTGTAAAATGGAAAGTACCAAAGGTATGAAAGCTTTAATATTTCAGGGGGTCTTACAGCTTTATAATTCCCACTTCCTCTAGTTTTTATGATGCTTATTATAGCAGCTACTGCAGCTAGACTGCTATAATAGCATGAAAACAAAATCTTTGTTGTAAACCTTTCTTACCATCTTAGTAAAGAAATCTCCTAGAACCAGGGGTCATTTCCTGCAGGAGCGCACAGGAGCGGAGTTCTGGCAGAAAAGAGCCCAGGGGACGGGCACATGCAACAAGCCCCATCCCCTGCTCCCAGCAGCCCCAGGCCACGAGGAGCAAGAACCTTCCTTCCTTCCTTCCTTCCTTCCTTCCTTCCTTCCTTCCTTCCTTCCTTCCTTCCTTCCTTCCTTCCTTCCTCCCTCCCTTCTCTCTCTCTCTCTTCCTCTCTCTCTCTCTTTCTTTCTCTCTCTCTCTTTTTCCCTCTCTCTCTCTTTCTCTCTCTCTTTCTTTCCTTCCTTCTCTTTTTCCCCTCTTTCCTTCATTCCTTCTTTCCTGCACAGATCTGTGCGTCCCCGTCCCCCCCAGCTAGCAATCTAAAATAGTCCAGTGGCACCTTTAAGGTCAAGTTTTATTCAGGTACAAGCTCTCCCTCCTCTGCTAGGGCAGATCTGCCCCCCCCCCCCCATAGCTAGCAATCCAAAACAGTCCAGTGGAGACTGAGCAGTGGGTGTTGCCTTCTGACACATTTCCGGTGATTTCAGGGTATGTGGCATATGCAAATAAATTATGCTAATGAGTTATGCTAATGAGCTTCTGCACCTCTTTTTCTACGAAATGACCCCTGCCTAGAACACTGAGTAAAGTGAAGTCTCTCTCCTTGACTAGCCTGTCTTATCAGGAATTTTCTGAAATGCGGTTACTTGGTTTTTCTAGTTTGTAGCAATACCTTTTGTGTTTGCTGAAGTGCTTTACCATGACTGCTTGGTAGGAGCTCATCCTGGGTCCCAAAGCATTGCTGTACCATTGTGTACGTGAGTGAAAATATTTGAAAACCAGGTGGAAATTAACAACTTGCCCTTAAAAAGATTGCATGATATTCTTACGATTTTGCTAGATACATTAGATTTTTTGCAGTGCACCATGCTATCATGACCATTCAGTTCATCTTCCTATTAACTGATAGAGAAGTGCTGGGGAAGAACATTCCCTGAAGATAGCAAGTTTGAAAACCACCACTAGCTTTGCGCACTGATGTTAGTTTTCCCATCTGCTAAATGCAATGTTGGATCGTCACCTGTATTCTTCTCTTGAGTAATCTAATTTTAAATAGTTCACACTCTTCTTCTATTTTGGGAGTGATTGCTGCTTCTATTTTAAACAGAAGATGACTTGAGAATACGCACAAATGGGTAACACCTCACTTGGTCTTCCTTCCGAAAGACCTGCTTTCTGGGCTCCCTTCCAAACTGTTGATCTGACTTTAATTCAAAATGTCTCCTTAGTGTTGTGCTTCCCAGGATCTCTGGAACCAAAGATGCTTTGATTGCTGTCTGGGGAATGAGTACAATTTGCTCCTAGCTGGGCAGTATCTCTTGGGCTCTCTCTACTGAAGAAGGACCAGATGCTAATCCCATCTGTTGTGTCCAGTGGGAAAGTAAGTTGCTAGCTTTGGCGTGAAAGACTTTGCCGAAGCTTTGTAGTCATTCTTCTAAAATTCAGCGCCGGGTTCTTAATGAAGTACTTGGTTAAAATGCATGTCACATTATCAGGTTTAAAGTGCTTTAAATCATTTCCCAATACAAGTGGGACAGGATGAGTTGGACCTTTTTAGTAATGCTCTAAAGGTCAAGGATCTAGTTGCAGCTTATAATCATGGCATATCTTAATTTTTTTTTATTTGTATAGCTTAAACACAAGAGTCACTATGGTACTGGTCTCCTCTTGAGTGTTCTGAGAATCTTGTCTGTGGGAGCAGACAGCTTAATGTTGAATCATTATCCCTTGATAAAAAGATGTTAAGTATAGAACATATGAAAGTAATGTTTAATGTCAATTTCCCCACACTCGTCTCCTTTGTGAGATTTCAGTGGGTTAAATTCCTCCTTTATGTTTAAATATAGAAGGACTGACACTGAGGCTTTCTCTTGATGTTTCATCTCTATTGTAATGCGGCAGTAAATGGTAGCTACAGTGGTACTTTTCTTATGGCCTTGGACCAGTGCTTGTGGCAGCGGGCGGGGTACAGGTCTACTTATGTGAATGTAGTTGCCTTTTAGCCTGTTTACTTTGACAGGAGCTATTTCTGTGATTAGTTATGTTAATTTCTCATCTATTTTCTGTGTTGCATTACTTTTCTCTTTTTCCTTCTGTGTGAAATTCACCAGGCATTGACTCAGGATCTGTTTTCCATTACTGAAGTATTGGAATCAATAAGAAAGCTCATGGGGGATGTAGTCTTTTTAAAAAACACTGCTCTTCACTTGTGTTACAGGGGAAGCTCACATTTGCAAATCAGATATTGTCAGATTTTTTTTTCAGTACCTATTTGCTAGTTGACACCTGAAAGGACCTTTCTCTAGAAAGCCGCCTTGGTGGCTGTGGTAGGGCAGAAAGATGGGATATAAAGTCTGTAAATATGTAGTAGAGGGGAAAAACATTCAGGTATAAATTAGTTTTTCTTTTCCAATGTGTGCAACCTGTATTCTCCTTCCGTTACAATGAAGTGACTTACCTCCAGCAAAGTGCAAGTAACTTCACTTTATGCAAATGTGAACAGCTCTTCTCACAGTGCTTCTGTATAGGGACAGCTCTCTCTTCTTTTGTTGTGAAACAAAAGGCTCCTCCTCACCAGAGGCAGAGGTGAGTCAGCTGGCCTGAGGCAAGGAGTGGAGAACACATGGTGAGGTGCTG